CTCAAATCTTCAAATTTCAATTTTTCAAGTACTCAATGATTGGAATTTCAAATTTTCCAACTTCAATTCTTTGAGTACTCAAATCTTTGAATTTCAATTTTTCTATTACTCAAATCTTAGGGCTTCAATTCTTCGAGTACTCAAATCTTCAAATTTCAATTTTTCGAGTACTCAATGATTGGAATTTCAAATTTTCCAACTTCAATTCTTTGAGTACTCAAATTTTCGAATTTCAATTTTTCTGTTACTCAAATCTTAGAACTTCAATTCTTCGAGTACTCAAATCTTCAAATTTCAATTTTTCGAGTACGCAAATCATCGAATTTCAATTTTTTGACTACTCAAATTTTCCAACTTCAATTCTTCGAGTACTCAAATCTTCAAATTTCAATTTTTCGAATACTCAAATCATCGAATTTCAGTTTTTTGGCTACTCAAATTTTCCAACTTCGATTCTTTGAGTACTCAAACCATCAAATTTTAATTTTTCGAATACTCAAATCTTGGAGCTTCAATTTTTTGAGTACCCACATCTTCTAATTTCAATTTTTGAAGCACTCAAATATTCAAATTTCAATTCTTCGAATACTCAGATTTTCGAATTTCACTTTTTCAGATACGATAAATCCATAAATTTCGAGTCTCCGAATATTAAAGTATTCGACTTAACATGTACCTCAAATTCTACATTTTTATCTAATTTTACATGCACTTGTTTTTGATTGCAATAAATAATTTATTAAACATGTAATAATTTCATACTTGAGCTACCATCTTTAAATACTTTTAAATTGAAATTAAATTAATGTGTTGAATAAGTAAATACTGAAGCACCGAGTAACGTACTCAATCATTCATCCGTATAAAATATTACAAACATTTCGATTATGGCAGAAAAATTTTGTAATATGAAATGTGAAACCTGTCAATTTGACTGACTGGTAGTTATTAGTATAAATGGAGGTATATATACTTCATAGTTAGGTTTGAATCAAAATCTAATTTATTTATTGTCCACATTACAATTCAAAACACATCTAAAACACATTCACAGCATACATATAATAAATATTGTCAAAATTTCTCTAAAATATCAATTTTACTTTATTATCAATTTATTATTATAATTATTGTTATGATACTTATGTAATATTATATATTACAATATATTGTTACTAGTTAATATTATAACAATATAATGAGTTATGACGTGGTATTTTATACCCGTCACAACATATTATGAATTTAGGAATTTATTATGAATTTATTCTTTAATATTCTTTCACCAAAACATCAAGAGCAAATATAAATTGTTCCCAAAAATAATTACCCCTATCAATAAAAGCTCAGTTTCCTTTATTTCGTGGCAGATCACGTGTACACCAGTTGTACATCACGATCAAATCTTTAAAGCTCAAGCTTCCAAACGCTTCTCCAATTGTAACAGCAGACAATACGAACGAAAGAACTGACTTCACATCGAGTTAAAAGAAGATATAAGAAAAAAAAAAACACGAGCGAACGAGAGAACAAATTGTACAGTGTGTAGGTTCCCTAAGGACAGTCTTGTACATTATCGCAGTCAATTCTTATTGTTTTCGAAACGTTTGGTTGGTCGTAGTCATAGCGGTTCACTCTCATCTAGGCGTGAAAATTGTACAGTTAGTTTCATTAGACTGGTTACCTGTTGAAAATTTTTCCTGAGTTTTTTCCAACACATTGAAGAGGAAATTATTTTGTGACCAGAATTAGCACGAGGCCTCGAGGTTTTATGGGTAGAAGTGTACAGTAGTTTGAGTGGAAGGAAAATGGTGGAAAATCGTGGTTCAGATGTTAACAAAATTTAATGAATTAGTTTGAGGAATTTTTAATTTTAATTTTGTAGGAAAGACTCGAAGATATAATTTTTAGGAAAATTATTTGTAATTAAGAAGATATTTTTATTTTGTTTGAGATGTTTCGATCACAATTTTTACTTATTTCATTTTCCTAAAGTATGTTTATATTTATTACAAGTCTCATGTAGACTTTATTTAATATTTTAAGCTTACAATAATTTGCAAAACGAGAAACTGAGAATCAATTAAAATCGACCTCGCAGAACCACAGCCATTTTCCATTATCCTTCATCCGGTTGCCTGACATTTTCGTTGTTTCGTTGAAAATTAATGTGTTGCCGTGTTAAAATGGAGGGAAATTTGACGAATTACGAATTCACTTGCTCGTCAAAATGAATTAACATATCTATAAGAAAACTGAATTAATGTAAATCGATATGCAGTTCGAAGTATTTATTCGTAATGGGAGAAAGATTTCTTTTACCGGATCAATTTTTCTAATTGATAATGGATGAACTTTCTAATGGACGCGGAGTAACTCGCTTTCATTAAACTTCACACCGTGGAGTTAATTATTAAGTTACATTGGATTCTGATAATCGTTGCGTTCTACGTAACCTGCAAACATGAAATTAAATTTCGGTCCGCGATGCAGTAAACTAGTAATTCGTCGGAACAGTTAAAACCGTTTCGCGATTCTGCGGAACGAAATTAACGCGCGTTTCGTTAAAACTTCATTTTGTATATGTTCGCATCAATCAGGGTCCCCTCGGAAATTTTCCAAATAATATACCGAACTTTTGATCGTTATAATTACCTACAAATTGCCTGTGATTTTAATGAATTCCGAAATTATTCGCGGAAAATCGCGTTCAAATTGATCAGAAATTTTTCGCCGTGCGATGTTCAGAATTCAATTTAAAACGTCAGTCACATTTTATTCCGTAACAATTTGCGTTAACATCGTTGCGTAAATTCGATGAACGAAGAATTTCTCCCTGACAAGAATGTAACAATGGCACGATTGCCTCTTCGGTTGTCGATGAGAGACGGAAATACGGTGTTTTATTGTGTAAATGATACGTAAGCGTACCGTATGGTTTCCTATTAGTCTGACAGTGCAATATATGTATATTATTAGGTGTACGATAATTTTATATAACTGCACGTGTTGTAAGTTTGTGCATACGGGCTCAGAGTTGAATATTCTTCGAATAGAAATAGTTCAAGGAAGATGTTTTATACAAAATCATTTTTCGTTGAGATATTGGACCCTCGTTATATTGCTAGGAGGTGCGAGATATGTCACTGGGTTCGTTGACGGTTTCGGTGTAAAAAATGGCGATTTTACGTGTGAATTGTATGTGACGATATAACGCTTTGTAACACATGGTGATATAATGCGATCCTACGCGTGGAAATATAATGTTTGGCGGTTACATATGTTGAAATACAACACGTGGAAATTTAACGCGTGGTAACTCGGCGCTTTGAAATATAACGTGTAGAAATACAATGTGTGATGATTCCACGCGTGGAAATACGACGCGTGAAAATACCATGCATGCAAATACGACGCGTAGATAACCGACACATGGATATAGGATGTGTGGATACATGACGCGTGGAAATGCAATGCGTAGATATAGAACGGGTAATGATTCCATGCGTGGAAATACAATGCGTGAAAATACGGCGCGTGGAAATACAATGCGTGGAAATACAACACGTGGAAATACGACGCGTGGTAATTCAATGCATAGAAATACAACGTGTGATAATTCCACGCGTGGAAATACAATGCGTGAAAATACGACGCGTGGAAATACAATGCGTGGAAATACGACGCGTGGAAATACGACGCGTGGTAATTCAATGCGTAGAAATACAACGTGTGATGATTCCACGCGTGAAAATACAACGCGTGGGAATACGACGCGTGGAAATACAACACGTGGAAATACAACGTGTGATCATTCCACGCGTGGAAATACAATGCGTGAAAATATGACGCGTGGAAGTACGACGCGCGAAAATACGACGCGTGGAAGTACGACGCGTGGAAATACGACGCGTGGTAATTCAATGCGTAGAAATACAACGTGTGATGATTCCACGCGTGAAAATACAACGCGTAAAAATACAACGCGTGGAAATACAGCGCATGGAAATACGACGCGTGGAAATACGATGGGTGGAACTACAACGTGTAGAAATATAATTCATAGAAATACAATGCGTGGAAATACAATTTATTGAAATCCAACGCATTGAAGTATAACGTGTTGAAATACAACGCGTAGTAGTTCAATGCATAGAAATACGATTTTAGGAAGTGGAAGTGTAACGCGCAGAAACTGTGCGCAAGTAAAAAATGCAATATAACGAGAGTACTCTATAATACTCAAGATTCAAAAAGAATTTCTTTCGTTTCAAAAGGTATGAACAAAATTGAACCCAAACTAAAATTTATTTAAATAAAAATTGATTCCATACATAAATCACTTGTTACTTTTAAAGCAACAAGTTATGTAGTATAATAAATTTTCATTTTACTTAAAATTGTAGTTGTGAAATCTTTGAACGAATTTTCATTAAAAAACAGAAAAAATGAAGAATGATTTGTAGTTCACGAATACATTAATTATATTTTAAGGTTGTATTTGAAATGTTTGAATGATGTCCAACTCTGTGAGAGGTTTACGTGAATTATTAACGTGTGCAGAGTTGTATAAAAGATAATGCAACGGAATCTTTGTAAATATTTGTGAACATATTGTAGTCAATATCAGGAGGAAATAAAGATAGAGCTTCGTGTGGCATATGAAGCTGTACGATAAACACCATTTGATTGTACTTTTTCTTCATTCACATTTAGCTGACTTTTCATTTTTCTAGTAGATGAATTTTTAAGGTTATATTCATTTTATGGATTATCAGTAATCATGATTATATTCCCTTTATAGATTATTAGTAGCCATGACTCTACATGGTTGTTCCTTTTTTTTTAAAGAAGTTGAATTAATATAATGATTTATTTGATGATATTAGTTATACGTGAATTGCGAATATTTGTAGAAAAATATACTTGATTTTCATACAATATTTTCTGTCGCATTTTGTTTCACATATTTTAAACAATTTATTTCGTTTCTTTTGTAGGTTTCATACGCTTCGTTTTGTTTCTTCAGAACAGTGGAAATTATGTAACAGTTATCAAGATACCTTCTGCAATTCTTCGTTGCTTGATTTCGTGTAAGTTCTTTTATTATTTTTATATTTATTGATTCACTGGCTTACTGAATTACTGATTTATCAACTTATTCATTATTTACTCATTATTGACAATTTTCAAATATTAATTTTTAAATTTTCGAATATCATTCGAACATAGCTTTTGCTATTTTTTTATAAATATCTTCATTTCATTCCTAGAATAACTAATAAAATGTAAAATTTAAAATTTTGAAGTCCATCTTCAATTATTTGAGTTCCAATTAACGCTTTCATTTTATAAAAGAATAGCGAAGCATTTAAAAATATTCATTTTATTCATTAATTAACAAGCTCCACAAAAGAAGATATTTATTTGTTTACTACATCGAAGCTGTGAAGACAAAGGTACGTGTCACTTTTAATATATTATATTTATATCACACATGCACTTCAAACAAGCTTGGAACTATTATTTTATTTTAATACGATTTTGCTATATTTATCACTTCACAAAAACTTTCAGATACGTTCAAAAATTTGATGATATACATTTTATATATATTTGGAAATAAATTACTTAAATTTCTGTTGAATTGTTAAAGACCTCAACAAGGATTATTCTGTAAATGCTTGTAAATATCTATATTTCATAAAATATAGCATAAACACAAAGTATAATGTGATAAAATATAATATAATACATATACTTATAATTTTATAAAATTCTTAAATTATTTACACAATATTTATCAAGATACATAAACACATTTTTTGAGAAATTGAGATAGTTACAAGAAATTTTATCAGTCTCAATAATTGGACTCAATAATATCTTTCTACTATAATTATTTGTAAAATGTTTATTAATTTAAACAATTTTGTTTATGAAACATATATTTCCAAAAAGTTTCATTCACTTTCTACGACGAGTAAAATCAATAATTCCTTCTTGCAATTATTATTTATAAAATATTTAGTAATATAAACATCATTTTCTATGAAAGATACTACCAAGAGATTATATACAATTCCTCTAAGGCTTAGAACTGATAGCTCCATTCTGCAACTCGAAATTTTTGTAATCGTCCCATGTAATGCCGCTATAAATATTTTTGCCCGTTTGATTTTAATAAAGCAACGTTTCCATACATGTTTCCCTGGCTTTGCATTCTATTGGATATGCGTATACCGATAGATCGATACAGCCCAGCAATTTGATATCGGGTACACATGTCAAGTACGTGCTTGTAAAGCAAAGCAAGAAAAGCAGTCAGAATCTGTTCGAGGTGAAGAAAATTCTGCGGATGTTCGTCGAAAGTGCACGAAACTTTCCGGATACAAATACTCGCCGAAAAGTGAAACTTTTAAATGAAACGATATTAAGCTTTCAAAACTCTTTGCTAATGAAACTTTCCCTTTTCTTAAAAACCACGAAATTGATTTTAATAAAATTTCAAACTCGATTTAAATTAAATATTAAAAATGATAACCGAACTTAGATAAAATTATTTTGAAGTTACTCCTTACTCTTCAATAAATGATAATAGTTTTATTCATTTAGGTTTCATAGATTTTATGCACGGTTGACTTGGATCCTAAAGTTAACAAGTCTCGCGTAATACGAGTTCTGAAATAGCAAAAGTAAATTAGCGGAATTAACAAGAAATTATATTCAGTATTTCAGGAGTGGGTTAGCTGAAAGTAAATTTACGACTGTTTCTAGTATTTGGTTTCAAAACCGCACCGAATTCTACCATAGAGGGGTTGTAATATCTGAAGAAATATAGCACGAGATTTCTGATTACAACAAGGTGAATTTTCACTGAAAACTGCTGCGAGTTCGACTATAATAAATAATGTGCAGGAGGTCGCGAATGTTATTTAGTGACACAGAAAATTATATACTGTGCCATGTTCAAATTACGTACAATTTAGAAACTAAAAAATTCAGTAATTTTTGTTTCGTTTCGAAACGACACAACTTTTGTTTAGTTTCATTAATACAAGACAAGGCGAAATTAACACAATAGTTTAAACTTTATATACGTAAACAATTAAGCAAGAGTTCTTATAAAGAAATAATTCTACAAGTTGGAGTACATACAATATATTTTAAGTCTATTAGCGAAATAATTATTACAAACCAAAGAAATGACAAATTGTCACAAGAAAATACAGATAAATGTTACAGAGAAATAATACAACATTTATTAGAAATAAATTAGTGGTCAATATGAAGGTTAAAACTGTTCGCCGGACGCCATATTGCGCAGTGTGCGCATGCGCACTTCGAACCCTACCGATTCTTGAGTATTTAAATCATTCTCTCTAAAAAGTAGTTTCTTGCATCCCTTTGCCATTACCAAGTTCATAAAAATGTACAATATCGAAGGAAGTTGTAATACAGCAGATTTGTCTAATGACAGCATCGATAGAGCCACGAGGAGGAAGACAGGATTACACGCGAAATGAAAAGTCGTAAGAAGGTGTACGAGGCGGAAGGAAAAATTCGTTCAATATTATTTTAAAGTTCTCTGAAACACGGACGAAGGATATGCCGGGTTTCTCACGCACGTGCAGCGTAGGGTAACAGTCAAACACTTGGCACCAGCCGGTGCCGGGTATGTGACATGAATATTTGTTTCTAATAAGATATGCCGACCCGCCACCCGCTATTCGACGTACCTTCCACTGTGCTTACCTTAAATCTATTAACTAAAAGAGGACGGAAAAAAGTGCGGCTATAAAATCATTACTTTTTCTTCTTTTTTCTGACATCTCAGGAATCGGATTATTTCAATGGACACACGAAGAAATTTTTTTGTAAAACTTTGGAAATTGAGCTTTGTAGGAGTGGTTTAGGTTTCTTGTTTGAGTCTTCAAGTTTTGAAACGTTCGGGCTTCATGTTTGTTGTTGTATGCAAGTTCATTATCATAATCTATCCATCTAGTCATCTAATTACCACTAATTACACATCTCTCTTAGAACTTAAGTAAAATAACCTATCTCCTCAAAATAATAAGAAAAAATAAATAAACTATATTCCCATCTATACAGTTCAGCTTTCTTTCAAGCTACCAAATTTACAAAATTTCAATCACCTAAAGTTCAAGCTTGAAATTTTCTCTCAACCAAATTTGAAATTTTCCAAAGCGTTCCAGTGTAACAAATACCCGAGCAGAACAGATTACGAACTGTTTATAGTAGCTCCGGTACCGCCATTAACCACGCGAGAATGGATCACGTCTCTTTTTCAGCTCGTAAAGTAATGCGTGCCGGACTTTGTTTAGTTGCTCGTGAAAATGCACGTAAGCGAGTTCGACACCGTTTTCACTGCTATTTTCTCGTTTGTTCTGCTCGCTCCCTTTTACGATGGCGTTACGAGTAGCCGCCAATAGGACGAACTGTCACGGTTAAATTGCATCACGAGCTGGACCAGATACCCGTCCACTTTTCCCTTGTTACTCGAACAGCAACCTATAGACCCTTGGACGACACGTACAGACATCCTTTCCTCGTTCGACGAGTTTGATTAAGCCGTTGAGCTGCTGGTGTGATTCGAGGGAGCCTGATAATTGTTGGGGATTTTAGTCTCTCGCTTCGCGAAATCTGATTTGGTACACTTTCTTCGGATTACATATGTGAATTACACGAATTCTTAATTCTCTAATTTATACATTTTTGGTTGGGTAATAATGGGATCCACCGTGATCCATTATTTGGTTGGGTTCCTTTCGCAGTTTTTTAGTTTTGAATTTTTTCAGATGTTTAAATTTTTTAGTTTCTTAATTACCATTTGCAGATTTTCTGTATGTGATATTATTCACATGTAGAACTTTGGGAATATGTGGATTTGGAAACCTAGGTATTTGAGAGGACGAGTATTTGGAGATGTGGGATTTTGGGAATATGTGGATTTAGAGGTCTAGGAATTTGGGAATCTAGGGATATGGGGATTTAGAAATTTGGGGATGTAGAGATTTGGGGATGTAGAGATTTGGGAATGTAGAGATTTGAGAATGCAGGGATTTGGAGATTTAGTGATTTGGGGATTTAGAAATTTGAGGATATGTGGACTTAGAAGTCTAGGAATTTGGGGATCTAGGGATTTGGGGATGTAGAGATTTGGGAATGTAGGGATTTGGAGATGTAGGAATTTGGGGATCTAGGGATTTGGGGATGTGTGGATTTTGGGGACGTGTGGATATGGGGACATGGGAAATTGGGGATGTGTGGATTTGGGAACGTGTGGATTTGGGGACATGTGAAATTGAGGATGTGTGGATTTGGGAACGTGTGGATTTGGACACGTGTAGATTTGGGGACATGTGAAATTGGGGATGTGTGGATTTGGGAACGTGTGGATTTGGACACGTGTAGATTTAGGGACATGTGAAATTGAGGATGTGTGGAAATTTTGAAATATAGTAATTTGGGGGATGCAGGAATTTAGAGATTTGGGGATCTAGGGATTTGGGGATTTAGGGATTTGGGAATGTAGGGATTTGGGAATATGTGGATTTGGAAGCCTGGAATCTTGGTAATCTACGAATTTGAGAATCTAGGATTCTGTGATCTTGTGGACTTTGAGGTCTATTAATTTAAGAATTTAAGAATTTCGAGACCTACGATTTTTTGGATCTAGAAATTTCAAGCTCTACGAATCTTGAGAACTAAGAATTCGCAAGCTTAAAAATTTATTGCTCTACAAATTAGCTTAATTGAAAATTTAAAAAATTTCAGAATGTATAACTGAAAAATATGAAAATTTCTTCCCTAAACTCACTTGCATATGCAGTTTATGATTGAAATCGTGTTATATGTTAATTATCACAATTTTGTGTTACAACGGGCAGTTTCTGGTCCAAATTACTCAACTTTCAATTGTATAGATGAACAATAGGAGATTTTTACACGAGATCGGTATTATGATTTTGCGTGAACATGTGAATACCTGTTATTGAACTAAATTTACTCCCCAATTCTACCTGTTTGAATAATTGCTGTTCCATTCTGTGTATGAGAAATCAATGTTCGG